ACCACCACCTTATATTTTATTTCCAATTGAATTCCAGCAAGCAGTTCCCCACTTGTGTGTATATATTTTAATTCCAGCTACCTTTTCTCTTTTCTATGCGTGAGACGTTTCCGTCAGATGTACAAATATATAATTCAACTCACTTTGCAACCCAACAATTAATTCCTAGCAGCTAGTTTAATTATTAATTCCACCACTCCAGTTTTCTGATTTCTGTTGGTATATAAATGTGAAAATCAACCCTTGTTGCCACAATTAATCTCCCACCAGCAGCTGCCGACTTTATCAATTCAGTCGTCCCCCCCTCAGTCCTGGTTTTTGTGCGTGTATATATAATTGTTTTCTCTCTACCCTACTTTCAGCCAGCATGTGTGTAATTTATATGCCTCCAATCACCACCTTGTATTGTTTCCAATTGAATTCAAACAAGCAGCCCACTAATTCCCGTTATGAGGCCAAATTTCAATTCCATCACAATTGGTCTAGACCCAATTAAACTTATATCACTTTTCAAATTGGTTCGGAGTCCAATTAGATACTTCTCATCAAGGCATCATTTTTTCCAATTAATGGATTTTAGTCATGTAGCCCATGTCTTCTTCAATTCAATTTATGCCCTTCAATTTCCAAAGTGTTGAATTTGATCTCCAAACTCGCTCATTTCATTCATTTTCATCATTCTTTCTTTTCCAAGTGCTTCGAACGAGTCCCTAACTAAAAATAAAAGAAAATTAACACAAGTGAGGTAATAATTAATAATTTGACGACATAAAAATCTAGTTATGTAGTCCGAATAAGTGCACAAAATGCACTTTTCACATTGCTAAATGAAACCCCATATGTGCACAAGGAGGACATACTTTTGGGAGGATAATGCATGGAAAAGGAAGGGATAAGGAGATGAAGGTTGATGCTTAACTCCTATTTTGAATCCTTTCAACATTTGTGAAGTTTGAGGTCGAATATTGATAAGTATAATTTCCACACTTATTTGGATCCTAAATGATGATATTTTGTTATTCTTTGGACAGATTAGTGCTTAATTAATTATTTATTGCTTTTATTAGGAAAAGCTCATATTTGGATGAAGATTTGGAAGAAATAATGGAAAATAGAGGGAAAAAATGAGGAAATTCAAACTTTGGGGACTAAAGTGCAAATACTCAATACTTGTTACGGACTTCAAATTGATAATTGGAGAGTGTTAATTTCAATTGGATGCAATAAGAAGTCAAAAATGAATAAAATATAATCAAACGATTTTTACAAATTAATTTCCAATCGCAAAAGCATATTCCAGATTTTCAACCAAAGTTTAAGACCTATTTTTGAAATAGTGAACGTTCAAATTGGAAATATTCTATTTCTAGATGAATGGTATCCCTTTGAGTTATCTTTGTAACGCGCTTTGAATAACCTTAATCGAATATCAAGAGAGAAGTTATGATCAAAATATTGAAAGTTATGCAGTGAAAAAATCATGTGCCTGTGAAGGCAATTTTTTTTATTTGATTGAAACTCTTTTGGAAGACAATTTGGATGTAAATCTCAACCTAATTTCATCATATAAAATGCAAGATGTGCAGCCATTGAAGGAGCTCTCTCGAACCTCTCAAATTAGAAACATATCATAAAATCATTTATGAACGAAGGATAAATTCAATATAAGTTGGAGAGAAGAACAAATCTAGCAAGAGATTAAATCAAGAAACATCAAGGACTTGAAGAATCAATTCTTGGGGTTGATAATCAAGAACAAGACTAGACTTGACATCTTTTTCTTGTATTTTTAAATTTCGGGTGATATTCTTTCATTCTTGTTATTTTATCATTAAAACATGTTTAACTAGAATTCTATTGTATTGGATGATTGAGTAATCCTATTTTTTGTTTATTTCAATTTAAAACTTTAATTTAGGCATTTCTGGCTATTTTTTGATTGATTTTGCACTCTCACTGCAATATTTAATTGTTTGGCTATCAATTAAATAGTTAGTTACTTGTTGTAGTATAATAATACTTATAATAAGCTTGGAATGCTGTAAAATTGACACATGGACAATAGGTATCAGGAATAATATATATGGCATGTCCAATCATGTAGATAACCTAAACTAAATGCATGATTTTCATATGAATTCAGATTAGGAATATGATCGGGTCGTGTTAATAATAAGTTGATGTATTTTGGAAAAGTGCATTTAACAAATTAGCGTTATCAGTAGTTAAAAATACATGAAATTAACTAAATTATTAATTTGATAATTGAAATAGATGAAAATAGAGAGAATCATGAATCCAGCACAGGTATTCAAATTCGATAAAATCACAATTTACTTGCTTTGTTAGTATGGATTAAATGTAATATAAACAACCACAAAATCACTATTTTTCATTATTATTCATTTGAATTTAATACTAATTATTGAACTACATTTTAAACCTTAATCCTCGTGAGAACGATAAACTCGAGCATACTATTTCTGTTACTTGTATAACGATTCATTACGCTTACGGGTTTCGCTGGAACAAGTTTTTGGCGATGTTGATAGGGAATAACATATTTAATATTAGTTTAGTAGTTTATATTAAGTTCAATTTTAATTTTAATTTTAATTTTAATTTTAATTTCTTGTGTTCTTCTTAGGCTTTAATTGAAATACTTAATATCTTCTTATTTTCACTCATCACAAGTTTCGACTAGTTCATGCAAGATCCTAACGAGATTGGGATCCTCCCTGTTGATCCCGAGATCGAAAGAACCTTCAAACAATGTCGAAGAGAATAGAGTAGAGCAAGGGTAATGGTTGAGAATCAAAATCAGATTCAGGATGCACTTCAAAAAGCAGTATTTGCAGTTTAGCAAACACCTCCAGTTCAACCTATATTAGTAGGGGATTATGTAGATCCTATGCCTGCACCAGTATAGTCGGCAATTATCTACCCATCCTTCGGACAAGACAACTTCCACATTCGGCCAAATGTCATAAATGTCTTTTGGAATCATCAAGACATTAGGTTTTCCAAGAAAGCCACGGGAATCCACATAAACACATACCGGCTTTTCTCATGCAATACGAAGTAATCAGCCATGACGTGTCACAAGATGTATTTCGAAAACATCTATTCCCGCATACTTTGAAGGAGGGCGTAAAAATATGGATGTATTTACTACCTTTCGAGAGCATTATATCGTAGAATGACATAATACAAAAATTTAAAATGAAAATCTTGCCACCATCTCGAGTCCATCAAAACAGAAATGAAGTATATCATTCAGTTAAAGGGGCTTTAAGAGACACACACACACACACACACAC